ACATTTTCTCAGGCTTTCACAGAGAGCAAATTGGCCAATCAGTGGCCGTAACTCATCCACATGGCTGACACTGACAAAGGATCTACAAACTGAGGTACAGGGTATCAGCATAAATCCTGAGGGGATTTGACTGACCTTATCAGATACAAAAACTACAATTCTTGTTACATAGATCTTGCTTTATCTTGGTCGTAACTATCCAGCAGAAAAGTATAAAAACGAAGTATAAGAAGTAAAGCCAGGCTGGTGAGATGGCTCAGTGGTCTAAAGCACCTACTTAGAACAAGCTTAGCAAAGCACAGGGACCACGGTTCAATCCCCCAGCACCACATGCCAGCCAGCCCCACCCCCTGGTGGGCTGAGCTGGCCACACACACACACACACACACACACACACACACACATACACACACATAAATAAATAAAATTTTTTTTTAAATGTATTAAAAAAAAAAGTAAAGCCATGTTTTTATGTTGAGCTGTAGGAGACTCAGGCCAACAACTTCTGACATTGCCAGTCAAGCAGGGAGACCCAATACTATTATGGACTACTGAACTATTTTGGAATATTTTGCTGAGTTCACACACCTATAATATTTAAATGATGGAACTAAACATAAAAGGGGGTACAGATGATGACCATTTTATATCTGTGTATTCAAAATGGTTAGGATATATAGCTACATTCACTTAATTCAATGAAAAGAGGAATTTGTTCTAATGGTGTTTGTAAATAGGATATCATGTCTGCATCTTGTACAACAGATAACCACTAGGAAGACAGTATGCAATGTGTTAATTATTGAAACTGCCCTACCAATTTGATTTGAAACTGTCTCATTGCTATTTGTTTCTCAATAAAATTATGAAAAAAAAAAAAAAAAGAATTTGGCTGGCTAAAATGCTCTGGAGAAAACTCTTAGGCAGACATGTGATGATGGCAGTTGGAAATCAGGCAAAGTATACCAAACAGCAAGAGCTGAAGAACAGGAACAGGATAGCGAGGAAAAGACTAAGCCCTGCTTCTTATTCCTGCTACAGAAATAGACTGCAGACAGCTATTGCTTTATCTTTGCCCCTTCCATTCCTTTGCTTTTTATACTACACCTTGCTGTGAAGTTGGCTTAGTAATCAAATCCTTCTGTTCTTGAATCTCCAGTTAGTGAATCATCAGGCTCCTCATTTCTTGTCATGGCACCCACCAACTTCCACATATGGAATGGATACTGCATGTTTTATATTTTCTACTTGATAAAAGCTCATAGGAATCTAAATTGTTATTCTGTGTGTCTTTGAAGGTAACAGAATGCTTCAGGGAGCATTGGTCCAGTTCTCATTTTGCAGATGAGAAAATAACCCACTTCTTTTTCCACTGTACCCTGGACCAATCACTGAGAGTTAGTTTTGGAAAGTTAGCACAATACTGGAATTGAACCCAGGGCCTCTGTACTGAGCTATACCGCCAACCCTTTTTTATTTTGAGATAGGATCTAGCTAAGTTGCTATAGCACACAGGCTGCCTCAGCCCGTCAGAGTGCATTTACAGGTGTGTGCTACCATGCCTGGCTTTCCTTAACCGTTTTACATAGCCTTTGCTTTATCTTTGAACATGCCTACCTTTACCTCCATCATTGTATTTGCATATATGTTTTGAAGGCTAGTATATTGACTTTTAAATGATTGCAGCATCAGGCATGGTGGTGCATGTCTTTAGTCCCAGCACTTGGAAGGCTGAGGCAGGAGGATCACTACAAGTTCAAGGGCAGCCTGGGCTACATAATGAGTTCAAGGTCAGTTCTGAACTACAGAGTAATGCCGTGTCTCAAACACACACACACACACACACACACACACACACACACTTATAAAGAACATAGTAAAAAAAAAGAAGATAGTACTTTAGTAAGGTAAAGTATTAAATTTTAGTATTTATGTGAAGCATGAGCTTACATATATATTGGATTTTATTTTTATTCTTTTCCTCTCTCTCTCTCTCTCTCTCTCTCTCTCTCTCTCTCTCTCTCTCTCTCTCTCTCTGGTACAGGGTCTCACTACGCAGCTCAGACTCATAGTGACCCTCCTGTCTCAGCCTCCCCAGCGCTGAGATTACAGGTGTGCACCACCACACCCTCCTGGTTTCAGTGGCCAGCATGGTGCGCACAGAGTTCTAGGACCAGCACAGCATGGATAGCGGGGATTGAACCTGGGTCCTTGTGCTTGCCAATCAGGCACTTAGACAACTGAGCTATCTCCGTAGCCCCTGTATATTGAATTTTTACTCTTTGAAATTTTTCACAATGTCCTTTTCAGGTAAGGGGTTTTCTCTAGAAAACAGTAGGCCTTTCCTTTTCTAGAGAAATAATCAGATGGGGCCTGAAAGCAGAAAGTAATCATGACCTCAATATTAAGTAAAAGTTTTGTTAATATTTTTTTAAAATTTGCTCCCAGAACTGCTTACTTATTACCATTGAACAATGTTGGGCAATGTTTTTGAGTGTAAATTAGAATAGAGCTGGCATAATGACTTTTTTGAGATCAAACAATTTGAACAGCCATATAAAAAGGAGTTGGTTATGCCCAGGACCTTAACTTTCGCTAAGTTGGCAGTGGCTTCCTGCTCAAAGATGTCATTTGGCCTCACAGAAGGAAGTTCAGGATGCTTGGCCTTAAATTTTTTTTTTTTTTTTTTTTTTTTT